CTGTACCCCAATTCCCAAAGCGTTGTAATAGCGTAGGGCATTTAATTTTCACAATTTACCGCTTTCCTTATTACTGTTAGTAATTAGGATCTGTATGACAAGATTAAAATCAACCAATAGCAAAACCCTAATTTCAAGACAAAAATAACTGAAATTAAAACACTTCGCACACGCGCACCTCTAGGGTGACCCTCACTTGTTGCCTCATATTTAAACAGTTGTGTCCCTCGAATGTGGGACGCTTTAGAAAAGACCCTTGATTAAAAGATCATAGTCCCTCGATGACCCTTCGATGTTGCCTTCGGTAAACGATCTTAGTCCCTTACGACAATTGCTAAAATGTCCTACAAGTTTTCTTCTATGACTGCACGATAACCCGCGTCTGTCCCTCACATCCAATGGTAGGGCTTCCTACTAACTAATGGTAGGATAACACTATCTAAAGGAGGAGGAAAAGAACAAAGACTTTTTTAGTAGGTAGAACACTCATAGTCTCTTTCTCACAAAACTTTTCAAAATAAAACATCTTTTCACAAAACAACACTTCATTTTCACAATATTTTCAAAACAAATTTTTTGTATACATATATCAACGATACGAGAATCATTACAAAATTGTCGCACGTAGGCATTTTCAAAATATTTCCAAACATACACAAACATAAAGTATTTTAAAAGTGAGCTAGCGATTAAAAGCCTGTAGATAACTACGGACGAAAAGGGTGCTAACACCTTCCCTTTTCATAACCTACCCCCATTACTCAAAAAATTCTCAAAAAGGTCTTTCCTGTTCTTTTCACCCTTTCCTTTGTTGGATAAAAGAAAAGTCGGTGGCAACTCTTGCTATCTGCAACATTTGCAATAAAACGCAAAACTAAAAAGTCAAATCTCCCACCGTATTACATAACTGGCGACTCTGCTGGGGAAACTAAACTAAAAGTGGGGTTACCTTAAGAGTTAGATCACCTTTATTGCTTTACTTGTTTGCCTTGTTTGCTTTATATTTCGGGATATGCTTGGGTTTATTTTTTGTATAGATCCTATACTCGGATCTAGGGCCTTTTAGGTAAGTATCAATAGATCGTGAAAATTGTACGACATAGACCGATATGGTTGAAACGATGACTATGTTAGTGCAACACATTGGTTGGTGTCGATGTCCCTTGAGTAAGTCAAGGAGAATGTTGGGATGCCACATGGTGTCATAAGCACTAACTGACCTTATAACCTTAGTTGACACAATTTAACCATTAGAAAGTAGTGAGATGGCCGACTTTGGTGCAGACTGAAGTTGGTTGATACTCGATACTAACACTCGTTGAGATTGGACTCTTGGGATATTTCGATCGCAAATCGGATGCTTGTGCTGAAACAAAGCCTGGGAGAAAGATCAGTGATATTGAGGCTCTTAGAAACCAGTTACTTCTTTTAGGACATGTTTAGCCAACTAAAATCAACAGGGTATTTACCTATAAACTCCATGCAAGCCTGAGCCTAAGGCCTGGTGTGTCTTGTTTGTGTATGATTAATTGTTCGAACATGACATGATAACATTATGACATCATACCATATCATTTTCAATAACCATTTCAAGGACCAAAGAGATTTATCTTTGTTCTGTTTTGTAGGTTATGGCCTCCACTCGCAGAAACACCATCCAAATCAACTTTGTAAGGGTTCCTCATCAACTTAAAGAGTTAGTCTTCAGGGTTCACAAAGGTTCTCCATTTATCAAAAGGCATGGTCGACTACTCAGTCTGGTTAACTCGGGTTTTGACGAAGATATGATGAATGTTATATTCCAGTTCTTTGACCTTGTACATCATTGCTTCACCTTTCCCAATTATCAAGTGGTACCCACAATGGAGGAGTTTTCTCAATTACTGGGAGTACTTGTTCTCAATCAGATACCCTTCAGCAGTTTAGAAGAAGCTCCGAAGCCAAAAGTTATTGCAGCAACCTTACATCTGAAGCGGTCCGACATTATATCCAATTGGAAAACAAGAAGTGGAGTCAAAGGTTTTCTGGCTAAATTTCTAATGGAAAAAGCTTGACTGTTTCTGAATTCTATGAGTTTCCAGGCTTTCGAAGAAATCTTGGCTTTGCTAATCAATGGGTTGGTGTTATTTCCTAACCCAGACCAACTCATAGATGTGAACACCATCAAAATATTTCTTTCTCGTAATCTTGTGCCTACTTTTCTTAGAGACATTCTGCATTCTCTTCACACTCGTACTATGAGAAAGCGAGAGACTCTTATGTGTTGCATACCTTTGCTATCCAGGTGATTTATTTCTCACCTTCCCCAATTAGTATTTAAGAATGAACAAGGTTTGAGGTGGTCTCAAAGGATGATGTCACTCTCTCATTCAGATATCTATTTATTTCTTCATTCCAGCATCAAGCAAGCGGGCATTAAATGTTATTCCATCTCCAGACATCACATTTGATGAGGTAGAAAGAGTGGATAATGAGCACAATACCTCAAGTAGTGCTTCAGGAGAAACTTCTGATTTTGGATTTAGAATGAGGAAATTTAAACAATTTGTTATACGCTTTGTGACTAGGGGTTGACACAAAACCAAGAGACTTTTGAAGTGCTTGAGGATGCTGGTTTTGCATGTTAGCGACAACAAAGAAAAGCATTCTTTCAAGGCATCCGGAACGTACAAAACCTGTTAGGCTCTGATGGTTTCTTTACCGGTATTAGTATTTGCATCATTTGCATTTGCATTTACTTCCCCAACAAGTAGTAGAAAGTTGTCGAGTATGTTTAGGACACCCTCACTAGCAAATGCTAGTAACAAAGACTTTTGAAAGCTTATCAAGACATCACAGAGAAACAAACAAGATTGGTCTCTTATCTGTTGGAATATCTAGTCAGCACACAACATTCAAGCATTTACCCTAACTAAGTAAGCATTCTGCAACCTAGTAGAAAACCAATCAAAATTCATCTAACCCAACTAAAGCCCATTGCCCCATGGTCTACAGTATTAATATTTGTTATACACACAAGCTTGCAAATTAAAACATCTAAACATGTCATTCCACTCCCACCTATCTAAACCTACACTCACATATACTCAGTTTATTACAGTTTATGATCAACTAGGTTTGATAGTTTCATAAAAAGTCAGACATCAATATAAAAAATATCATATATTATGCATCAAATTAATCACCAATTTTGCATTGGTTCATAAGTAAACCAGAGAGAATTAAGGTTAAGAATTCACAAGTTATTACCTTAAATCGTGAATCTGTAATAAACCCTAACAAGACATTGAACAACGGAGACACATCAGCCCAATGAACACTATGTCTATTGATCAACAAATGAGAAAGGCACTTCAATCCATGAATAACCGCAGTTTCAGAACTAGACGGAGACTGTGCAACTTTCACAACCAGCTCAGACAGAAACTTCCTCTTCTTCTCCAACACAGCTGGATGCAATCTAACGATCACAAGATATGGAATGGTGAGGAGTGCGTCGATGAGGTGGTTAGCAGGGTTAGGTTCCGATGTGATGCGGTCCAAGGAAGAACACGTGGCACCGAAGTAAGCAACCGGTGATAAAGGTAGGTTGTGGTCTTTGAGTTCCTATGACATGGCACCGATGACGGCGCAGAGATGTTGGTGGTTTTCGGAGGTGGATTTTCCGTAACGAGAGAGGATGAAATTGCATAAATCGGTATTGGTTTCGTTGATGTTGGAGGGTGATTCTTCCATCTCGATTCCTTCCATGGTGGAAAACGAAAATCAAATGCCAAACCCTAGGTAGCTCAAACGACACAAGAGTTTAAGCAATGGTAAGATAAAGTATGAAAGATGATAAAACTATACCTAATGGAAATTTATGAACCAACTTTGTTTATATGGAGTAATTACTAGTTACTAGTACGTGGTATTGCACGGTCTACCTTAAAAAAAGTTTGTTGAGGAGAAAATATTGAAAACATATTTATATCATCACAAAGGTGTTAGTAAACAGGTTCCAGCCTCTTCTTTCTGATCATGTGGGTCCATTACAAGGTAGCTTCATATCGGGAAGAGGAACTAAAGAGAACATAATCTTATTCCAAGAAGTCACGCACACCATACAAACGCATAAGACGGAAGAAGGGTTAGTGGCTCTCAAGATTGATTTGGAGAAGACTTATGACAGGGTCATCTGAGATTTCCTTCGGGCTATACTATCGGATTTTGGTTTTCTTCAATCTATAATAAATTTGATCATGTGTGGTGTTCAAGAGGCTAACATCTCTATTCTGTGGAGTGACTCTAAATTAGCTCCATTCAAACCTTAGCAAGGCCTTCAACAAGGGGACCCATTCTCTCCTTACCTTTTTGTGCTTTGTATGGAGCGCCTATCGATACAAATTCAAAAACTTATGCGTGATGATACTTGGAAGCTTGTCCGTATCACTAAGGAAGGTATTGGAATCTCTCGTCTCTTTTTTGCGGATGATGTGTTGTTGTTTTGTCAAGGGAACAAGGAACAAATTCAGTTAGTTGCAAATACTCTCAATGAATTTTGCAATGCGTCTAGAATGAAAATTAACTTTGAAAAGTCCATGATTTTTTGTTCAACCAATATGGATAGTAATCTGCAATAAGAGCTTTCTAATATATCGGGCATTGCTAGAACTAACAACCTGGGCGAGTATATTGGTTTGCCTATTTTGAAAGGGCGAGTGACAAGAGCAAACTTTGCATCTATAATTGACAAGGTAAATACTTGCTTGGCCTCATGGAAAAATAAACTTTTAAATAAAGCTGGAAAATCGTCCCTAGCAAAATCAGTTTTGTCTTCTCTCTCGGTTTATGTTATGCAATCACTATGGCTTCCGGAATCCATTTGAGATTATATGGACAACAACATGAGATGATGTATTTGGGGAAAAAGGGATAGTAATCACAGTTAGAATCTAGTCCCTTGGTGCGATATCACGTGCCCTAAAATGGATGGTTGCCTCGGTGTTTGAAGTGCTAGGATGAACAATGTGGTGCTTCTTAGAAATCTCTTGGATGATATTATTCGTCATCCGAAGAAGTTTTGGGTGCAGGTGTTGTCTCAAAAATACTTGGAAAGGGAAATTTTTCCTGAAGTCAATAAGAATTCGAATGAGTTGTATATTTGGAGGGGAATTTTGAAAAGAAAAAAGAATTTGGGGAAGGGATTCCAACCACAGCTAGGCCTGGGAGATTCACTGTTTTGGTATCATAATTGGCTAGGTTCTGGAAAGCTTTGTAATAGGGTCCCTTTTGTGCATATTTGTGATACTCAATTGCACATACATGACGTATGCAGAAGTGGATTTTGGAACTTTGGAATTCTATACACAATTCTGCCCCCAGATACTCGCTATGTGATTATTAAGGTGGATATTCCAATGGAATTTACAAGCGCAAACAGATTCGGTTGGAAGCATAAAGCTGATGGGTTATATACCACAACATCACCTTACCACCTTTTAAAGGGATCTAACATGGTTGAATCCGCTGTAATTGGAGGAAGGTATGGAGTCGTAAAGTCCCAGAAAAAATTAGAATATTTCTCTGGTTAATTGGGAAGGAAGTTTTGCCTACCAATGCTAAGCGAAATCAGAATCATCTCACAGCCACACTAGCCTGTGCGATATGCGGGGGAAGTGTCAAAAATCTTTATCATTTATTTCGGGAATGCAGTAATGCTAAATAGTTGTGGGGGGAAATTGCTCATTCATCTATTTAACAGTCAGTTACTGCTCAGGACTTCCAACAGTGGTTTGCAAAAGTCTTGAGTTCTAGCCATTATGTATTGAAGCTTGCAATCATGTGGTGGATATGGCGATGGCGTAACCACGTAATATTAGGCGCAGGGAATTTGGACCCTGAACTATGTTATGAGACAGGTTTGGAAGGACACTAGAGTTTGGAAAAATTGGACTTTGTTACCTGATCACGTAGCAAGTCAGCACATTGTACTTCGACCAGGGCCTTTGCCGCAACATGCAAGCCACACTCTGATCAGTCTCATGGTGGATGGCAGTTGAAACCCGAACGTGAATCAGATAAGAGGTGGTGAGATTATTCTTGATGCAAGTGGATGTTGAATTTCTGGTGTGTCTTCTAGTTTTGGTACCGGTACCACGTTCATTGCAGAATATTTGGCCCCGGACATGGGATTGGAACATGCTTAGTCTCTTGGGTTTAAGTATGTTTTGTGTAAGACGGATTGTTTACTGACTACTGAGGTTTTCATGACAGATGTGAAAGTTGCTAATTTTTGAGATCAAGAATTGATTGTAAACATTAGACAAACTTTGGTAAAGGAATGAACTGTTTTCATTGAGCACACTCCTAAAAACAAAAACAATACAGCGAGATCTCATGGCTCGTCAAGCGTCGCGAGATGCTTCTGACCAACAAATTTAACAATTACCTTCGTCTAGTATCATTTCTGCTTTGTGGAAGGATACTTTCTCCTAGTTTTCTTTGTTTCCTATTTGTAACCCAAAAAGATATAAAAAATAAATAATAATAATAATAATAATAATAATAATAATAATAATAATATAATAATCCAAAAACAAATCAAGTATGTATTTTGCCGGGAAAATGGGGCAAGGCAAAAGCCAAAACAAAACCCCTTCGGAAAGAACCAGAGAGAGAATCATTAAAGTAAAAAAAGAAACACCCATCCCCTTTCTCTCCCAATTCCCGAATCTCAATCAATCCCCATACAACTCACAAAACTCCCAAACAAACCCTAAATCAATCATGCACACTTTCCAGATCTAACCCTCCCCAATGCCGACCACAACCACCGCCACCTACGGTGCCATCGGATCCCCCTCCACCGCCACATACCAACCCCCACAACTCTCCAACCTAATCCCAACTCCCCGCCCATGGCGCGAGTTTCTCGACATCTCCGCTCTCTCCCGTCCCCTCTCCTACGACGACGCAATGCTCCGTCTCCGTCAAAATCTCACCTACTTCCAGTTCAACTACGCCTCCGTAATGCTACTAATCGTCTTCCTCAGCCTCCTCTGGCACCCGCTCTCCATGATTGTGTTCTTCATCATCCTCGTTGCGTGGTTCTTTCTTTACTTCTCCCGTAATGGCCCCCTTGTTGTCTTCAACCGAACTTTCGATGATCGAATTCTGCTCTGCCTTTTGGGTCTCGTTTCTGTGATTGGGCTTGTTTCCACTCACGTTGGGGTTAATGTGTTGTTGGCGTTGATACTTGGTGTTGTTGTTGCCGGCTTGCATGCGTCTTTTCGGGTTGTTGAGGATTTATATGTTGACGAGGAAAGTAGCTTGCTTTCTGTTGTTGGAGGAACTCAACCTCCTCCTACAAGAACGAATTACACTCGAATTTAATGAAGAATCTGTTTTCAGTTTCACGGTTAGTTTCGGTTTCTCTGCTTTGAAAGTGTAGAGTTCAAAACTGGGTTGGTCATTGCAATGATGAATTGATCAAGTGTGTCGGTTTATTTTTGGGTAGTCAGTAACTCTTTTGTATTGAAAAAATTTGAGTTGTTGATGTCACTTTGGTTTATCCTGTTCGGATGGGATTGTAACAATCTTCATGTAACAAAAGAAATGATCGAATTGAATGGAAATAGGTTTTTTTTGTTGTTAATTTCTGTCGAATAGATTTGAGAGTTTTGTATGGTAGAGGGTTTGTTAATGTAGATGGTGATAGGACCCAGTTAGTTGAGAAAGAATTGCCACGTGAGCAGCTGATTTACAAGGAATCAAGTGGACTCCAAGAGTGGAAAGTTTATTCTAGAAGGAAGGGTAAGAAGGGAATTGGTGGCTAGTTAGTTACAATATTGTGACGAGGCTTGAGTGAGGAGAGCACCTTGCTTTCCATTTCTTCGATATAAGGAGTCAGAGAGAGAATGTAGATCTTACCTTGGATTACAGTGATATACTAGTATGCATAGGGAGCTATAGCTTTCTATTAGGAGCCTAGCTCTCAGATCTAGGGTTACATTCCCTTTTCTGTATCTGTTTCCATTTCTATTTACTATAATAAAGCTCTCTTTTCCTCTGTTGTTTGCTTGTACTGTTATTCTCTTGCATTTTGTTTTTTGGTTCGTATCAAGTGGTCCGACCTACCGGATTCCGACGATGGAGCCAGTGAATGCCACCTAAGAAGGTGACGTTACCGGCGTTCACAAAGATGAAAGCTAGGGTCAAAGCTTTAGAGAGTGAGATCACAAAGGTGCGTTCAACTCTCGTCGAGGTGCAGAACTCAGTGACGACAAACCATGCTAATTTGATAGCAATGCTGGAGAAATGTTTGGGCAAGTCGTTGACTGTGGATGAAGGAGACGCGAGCGTTTCCGGTAAAGGTTCGCCGAAGAGTACGATTGTCAACAGCCCTCATGGAGATGCTTTGACAGAGTATCGCCAGTCCGTTAAGAAGGTGGAACTGCCAGCGTTTGCTGGTGAGGATCCGGCGGGATGGATCTCACATGCTGAAGTGTATTTCTGCGTTCAGGACACGATACCAGAGATGAAAGTGAGTTTGGCTCAACTGTGTATGGAGGGAACAACGATTCATTTTTTCAATTCCTTGATCGGGGAGGAAGAAAGGTTCACATGGGAAGCGTTGAAGGAGGCATTGTTGGAGAGGTATGGAGGACACGGTAAGGGTGATGTTTATGAATAGTTGACGGAATTGAAGCAAGAGGGAACAATTGAGGAATACATCACTGAGTTTGAATACCTAACGGCTTAGATACCGAAACTTTCGGAGAAACAGTTTCGTGGGTATTTCTTACATGGGTTAAAGGGAGAGATTAGGGGGAAGGTACGTAGCTTGGTGGCAATGAGGGAGATGAAAAGAACAAAATTGCTCCAAGTCACGAGCTGTTGAGAGAGAGGTGAAAGGAGGAAACAGTTCAGGCTTTCATCGTGGGCCTAGATCTGGGTACAACCCAACTCATAATGGGTCATCAGGAAGGAAAGCTGTATCTGACTGGATCATGATAAGGGGGAGAGATGTTGGGCCGCATGGGGGTGTCAAGAGTGGAGTAAGTGGGCTCAAAGGAGACAAACAGGCCCAAAATGAAAAGAAACATACTGGGCCTCATGACAGGGGTTTCAAACATTTGTCTTACAATGAGTTGATAGAAAGGAAGCAAAAGGGGTGGAGATGATGAGGATGAGACCAAATTCTTGGCTATAGAGGTGGATGAAAGTAATGAAGAGAAGAAGGGGGAGATGAGTGTACTTAACTTGCATCATATTGCACATAAGACTCATCATACTATGAAATTCCAAGGAGCAATACAAGGAGTAGAGGTATTGATTTTGATGGATAGTGGGGCAACACATAATTTCATTTCTCAGAAATTAGTGCATCAAATGGACTGGCCAATTGACACTACCCGTCAAATGACGGTCAAATTGGGGAATGAGCTCCAAATAGCAACACAGGGTGTGTGTAGAAGAATGGAAGTGTTTATTGGGGAATTTAAATTAGACCTAGAAATGCATTTATTTGAATTAGGGGGAATTCATGTGGTTTTAGGCATTGAGTGGCTTAAGACATTGGGGGATACTATTACTAATTGGAAACAACAAACTATGAGTAAGCCCAGGCCCAATATGCAGGATTTATTGCGGATAGTAGAGAAAACAAAACCTAAAGAGGCTGAAAAAAAATACTGTCTGTCCAACAACAAATGAAGTTGGAAACAGTATTAAGCAAATATGATCAAGTGTTCCAAACAGTGTTAGATCTTCCTCCGAAAAGAAACAAAGAGCATGCAATCAACCTTGTGGAAGGACAAGGAGCCGTAAACATGAGGCCGTATTGCTATCCCCACCATCACAAGAACGAAATAGAGAAGCAGGTAAAGGAAATGTTGGCCACAAGGATCATTCGCCACAGGACAAGTTCGTTCTCAAGTCTGGTGATTTTGGTGAAGAAGAAGGACTGCACATGGCGAATGTGCATTGATTATCGCACTCTAAATAAGATCACGGTACCTGACAAATTTCCTATGGTGATTGAAGAGTTATTGGATGAATTGCATGGAGCGACATTCTTTTCGAAATTGGATTTGAAATTGGGATACCATCAAGTGAGGGTGAAGGAATCTGATGTGTACAAAACGGATTTCAGGACACATGAAGGGCATTATGAGTTCCTTGTGATGCCGTTCGGACTCATGAGTGCACTGTCGACGTTCCAAAGCCTAATGAATGATGTTTTTCGTTCTCTGTTAAGGAAACATGTGCTGGTCTTCTTTGATGACATCCTCATCTATAGCAAGAGCTGGGAGACTCATATGAGACATTTAGAGGAAGTGTTGAGTTTGTTAGCTAATCACAGCCTAGTAGCTAACGAGAAGAAGTGTTTTTTTGCCCAGCAAAGTGTGGAGTATTTGGGGCACATGATTACGGAGCATGGTGTAGCCGTAGGTCCTGGAAAGGCGGCCCGTGTGATTCAGTGGCCACAACCTAAGAATGTAAAAGGGGTGAGAGGGTTCTTAGGACTCACAGGATATTACAGGAAGTTTATAAAGGATTATGGGAAAATTGCTAGACCATTAACTGAGCTTACCAAGAAGGATAGTTTCAAATGGGGAGTGGAAGCTCAGCAATCCTTTGATGAGTTGAAGGGGAGGCTTACATCAGCACCTGTGTTAGCTTTACCAGATTTCTCCAAGAGTTTTTTGATTGAGTATGATGCTTCAGGAGGAGGAATAGGGGCGATCTTGATGCAAGATAAGAAGCCAATAGCATATTACAGCAAGGCCCTTGGTGTGAAGAATTTAGCTAAATCTGCATATGAAAAAGAATTGATGGCAGTAGTTTTAGCAATCTAGCACTGGAGACCATACTTGTTGGGAAGAAAATTTGTAGTATCAACTGATCAAAAAAGCCTCAAACAGCTATTGCAACAGAGAATTGTAACTGTAGAGCAGAACTGGACTGCTAAATTATTGGGTTATGATTTTGAGATTGTGTACAAACAGGGTAAATTGAACAAGGGAGCAGATGCTTTATCCAGAATCCATGAGGGAGGGGAGGTAGCTACCATGAATTACCAATGGAGATGGCTTCAAGGGGAACAGATTAAAACAGAAAATCAACAGGATGAAAGGTTGCAGAGGATAGTAGCAGGGGTTCAACAGAATGCAGAAGCATGGCCTGTTTATGAGTACAAGCAAGGTGTCTTGATGTATGAAGGTAGGTTGGTGATTTCCAATAAGTCTTTGTTAATTCCTACATTGTTAGAGGAATTCCACTCAACACCCCAGGGAGGACATTCGGGGTTCTGCAAAACTTATAGAAGAATTGCTGCTAATGTGTATTGGATAGGCATGAAAGGAACCATACAAGACTTTGTAAGAAGGTGCGACATTTGCCAAAGACAGAAGTACATAGCTTCATCTCCGGGAGGTTTGTTACAACCTTTACCCATTCCTCACCAAATCTGGGAAGATATATCGATTGACTTCATCGCCGGGTTGCCAAAATCAAAAGGTTCGAAGCTATTTTGGTGGTGGTGGACAGATTGTCCAAGTACACTCATTTTATTCCTCTGGGACATCCATATACTGCTAGGAGTATTGCTGAAGTATTTTGTAAGGAGATAGTCAAACTCCATGGCATACCTCTTTCCATAGTGAGTGACAGGGATCCCATTTTTATGAGCAGTTTTTGGAGGGAGATGTTCAAACTGCAGGGAACTAAGCTGAAAATGAGTACCGCATATCACCCCGAATCGGATGGGCAGACAGAAGTGGTTAATAGGTGTTCGGAAACCCATTTGAGGTGCTTCATTGTGGATCAACGTAGGACATGGGTATCTTGGATACACTGGGCTGAGTATTGGTTCAATACAACTTTTCATGCTACCACCGAGAAGACACCATTTGAGGTAGTTTATGGGAGGCCACCTCCAAAACTAGTTCAATGGACTCAAGGAGAGACTAGAGTAGAAGCTGTACAGAGGGAATTGTTGGACAGAGACGAGGCTTTGAGACAATTGAGGAACCAATTGTTGAGAGCACAAGAGAAAATGAAGAGTCAAGCTGATAAGAAACACATTGACAGGAGTTTTGTATGTGGAGAATGGGTGTTTGTCAAGCTTAGAGCTCATAGGCAGTAGTCGGTAGTGACCAGAATTAGTGCTAAATTAGCTGCAAGATACGACGGTCCTTATCCCATTGTTGAGAAGATAGGACCAGTGGCATACAGACTGAAGCTACCCAGGGGTCCAGACTGCACCCTGTGTTTCATGTGTCATTATTGAAGAAAGCTGTGGGACGTTATCATGAAGAGGATGAGTTACCAGAACTATTGGATGAACAGACTGAAATGTATGAACCAGAGGCGGTACTAGCTACTAGGAA